TGTGTGGGCTGTGTGTGTGTTTGGCTGTGTGTATGTGTGTGGCTGTGTGTGTGTGTGTGTGTGTGTGTGTGTGGCTGTGAGTGTGTGTGTGGCTGTGAGTGTGTGTGTGGCTGACTGTGTGTGTGGCTGTGACTGTGTGTGTGGCTGTGACTGTGTGTGTGGCTGTGACTGTGTGTGTGGCTGTGAGTGTGTGTGTAGCTGTGAGTGTGTGTGGCTGGTGTGTGTGGCTGTGAGTGTGTGTGTGGTAGTGTGTGTGGCTGTGTGTGTGCTGTAAGTGTGTGTGTGTGTGTGGCTGTGTGTGTGGCTGTAAGTGTGTGTGTGTGTGGCTGTAAGTGTGTGTGTGTGTGGCTGAGAGCATGTGTGTGTGGCTCTGAGTGTATGTGTGGTTGTGAGGTTATGGTTGTGAGGTTGTGTTTGTGGCAGTGTATAGCTGGACTAAAGAGAGTACTCAAAAGGTTTGCAGAGATTGAAGCAGTGGAAGGACATAGGCTGGAGGAAGATGTGGAATGAGGTAGTACTGTGGGGAGGACAATAATGATGAAGAATAGTAATAAGGGGGGGGAGGGGGTAGACAATGAAGTCTGTGCAGTAATGGAGGACTTTGGAAGAGAGGAAGGAGGTGCATTCTAAAGATTGAGTAATGACCTGAGTGGATGATTCAGAATGGATAGAACTCTCAGTAAACATTGAGGGAGTACTAGTATCAGTGGTCTGAGCCATAGTCAAAGGAGAGGCAGGGGTCGGGGAAACCAGAGAAGTCAAATTCAGATAGGCTACTTGATGAAAGGGCAAGCCTTAATTCCCCTTATAAGGGTAAAAAAAAAATAATTACTGGCCTTGGTGAGCCTGAAATAAGTTGGTAAAGAAAGTCTACCCCTCAGAATCCCCATAAGGGGTAAGGGCCAAGTAATTAACCAAGGGAATATCATGCCATGGCTCCCAGAGGCAGTTCAGGACTGACATAAAGCTAAATTTTCAACCTTTCAGCATGGCTCTCACACCTGAGGGAGTGCACAAATAAGGGGATGAAGAAAAGGAAAGGGGGAGAAGACCATGCAAAATTAGCCGAGGGCTGAGTTCCATGGTAAGTGGATCCATGCATTAGGTTTCAATCTCTGTCTCCTAAGCCCCCTACAACAACAATAAGCAGTGACTAGTGACTAGTTTCCCTTAAAAAAGTTCTAAACTGACAAAGAAAAGCATGATTTGTAAAAACATATGATCTTCATACTGTAATTATACATGCAATGAGAAATAACTAACAACTAATGTGATACACATTTCATAAACTTTATTCAAAATATATTTCTCTAAGATATAAGAAACCTTTCTAAGCTGTAACAAGTGATAGTTATATCCAAGACACAATATAAAATTAATGCACAGGACCAAAATAATTATATTAAACAATAAGGAAAATTAACTTTTTTTTTTCAAAATCAAAGGAGCCACTCAAGTTTTTGGAATGCAAATGAAATCTGAACACTTACCCAATATGACATTTCTAAGCCATATACTGCTGGCTTCTCAAACAAAGCCAAGGAAAGATGAAGAATAATTATGATGTACAGTGCAAATTGGCCCCATCTACTCTGGTACATGTGATATAATCTGAAATATATTCATTATTTTTAACTGAAAATTATGAAATAATTGTAATTGATATATGGTGACAAGATATTCATGACATCTTTTCAGAAATAATTCAGCAAATCAAAATATATACAAAAGAATATGGAAATGGAGTACTTTGTCCTGTGAAAAGAAATTTGAAATATAATCCAGAACTCAACAGAAATAAACAGGCAGAAAAAATATCTGTACACTGGTATTCGAGAGAGTAAAAATTGCTTTGCTTTTGCAGAGACAATTATGCTGTTTTCATACTGTTATATAGTCATCTACTCAGCCAAAGTAAGCAGCAAAAAATGTATAGTTCAAAGAAAAGCTTTCCCATTCCCTTATCTACATTTTCTTTTTTTTTAATTCTTACTTTAAATGTTTCTCTGACACTTTAAAGTCTGAATGTCTTCCATCTCTTGCATCCTCCACATATGTTGCTGCCAGAAGAAGATCCTGTCAAAACATTAACAAACATTTTAAATGGATTAGGAGGACATGCTCTTGATCTAAGCAAAAAGATCATTGTATGAAAGAATCTAGCTTGAATTTGGTTTAAAATATGTTTCATCATGTGTATGCTCTACACAATGCAGTACATAAGTTACTCATGCCTACAGTATATTTCATTTCAAATAGTGTCACTTCATCAGGTCTCAATCATCTTACTATCAACAAAATAAAAAACAAACCTTGGAACCTTCCTCCTTACGAGTGAATGCAATTACAAAACAATTATTTGACATAAATATCCAGGTATGGCATACAACTGTCCCTCTTCAATATAGGTTTATCAATTTTACCAAATCTTTAAACGATCATTTCCTTGAGAAAATTATCTAAGATAAATTAATTAATTAATCAATTAACAATATATGTTAACTAAAATAATTCTTCTTAAGCATGCTCTTACCAAATCAGAGATTTGTGGTTCATCTGTTGAGTCAATAGCAAAACTTCCATCACTTAAATTTGAAACTTCAACTGTATCATCTCCAGCCTTGTACGATATGCTCACTGGTATACCAGGATCATCCTCTGACGTACTTCTCCGTAATTGTAAAGATGATTTTCTCCTATGATATGCTAATCAGCAAACAATATATATGTCAACTAAGTACATAATGTCAATGAAAGAACATAATGGTATCAGTTAAATCTTGAATATTTTCCATCAATAAATGATATATAAAAAAGACAAGCAGTTCAATATTATCAGTTCCAATATTCATTAGTATCACATCTTACCTCTTGGGGTCTTAGGTTCTTCCTCTTCCACCTTATTTGGCTCATTTGCATCACTATTTTCTTCAATGACAACTTTCAGAGATTCCTGGTTTCTTTCTAAGGCTTCCATTTTTACCCTAGTATTATATTTCTAAGGTTATAATAAAAGCAGAAGAAACATTGCTGCTCTGCTAAAAAGTAACTTCCTGAAAGATGAAAAGGAAAAGTAATACAGTGCAAAAGTTAACAAAAAAATATATGGTGTTCTTAAGTAAGAAAATCTTCAACATATTGGATGCTCCCATCTCTCAACTTTAAAGTTGTTCTTGTTACTTAACTACAAATGCCATACATCAGATTTCTATGCATTAGATAGGATTGCTATATGCACAATATAAATGCTGCTTACAGTATTGGTGAGTTGTCTAAATTGAGTCAAAAGTTAAGAATTTAACAATTAGATAAATTATCTTCCTACTTTTGATTTTTTCCTTTCATAAAGATAAGGACAGACATTAAGTATTATAAGAAATGTTACACATGTTAAATAGAATATAAATCTCAACACCAGTCATGTCAAATCACAGGAGTGTGCAATTGTCAAGTAACATTTTCACAATGGATCAAGCTAATGATGCACAACAGATAACAGATACTTCACCTACTATACCTTCTGTTTCATCAGTTAAAGTTTTCATATTACTTTAAATTATATTTGCATGGTTATGAACACCCTCACCAAACCAGAAGTGCATTAAAAGACACTGGATGAACAGTTAATAGTTATCCGTTTACTTTTATATATATATATATATATATATATATATATATATATATATATATATATATATATATATATATGATAATATCCTCTAAGCCTTTTCATGAATTTTGTAGCAAAAGCATGCAATAATGATCTGTAATTATGAGAGAATTAAAAGCAACATGCATGAGTAGTGAAAATCATCCCCAATTCCTGCCGATCTCGCATTTTAGCAACAGCCATAATTGGAACAAATGAATAAAGCCATAACTATAATAACGTCATACATTATCATATACAAAAAGCACACTGCTAGCATAGCAAATGGTAAAACAATTCCACTAACCAATATGAGAAAACAAATACTAAGGATAATACCTGTCAGCTGTGCTTCATGGCCGAGCTTGTCAGTGACAAAAGTGAATAAAAAGTTGCGTTTTTTGTTATATCATACCGTCATAACCTCGTTTTCCACTAAGAGCACAAACCAATGTCATTCTGGTATTGTATTTCTTGATTATTTGAAAGTTTAAAAACCTATCAGATGTACTAAGAATAACCAGAACATATAGAGTGAAAGAGAAACGTCACTCACCTAACTGAACCTGACTTTGAGTTCCTCCGCCCCTTTGCTGTGTTTACATGGGGGAGGATCCGGCCTTATTTCCAGGTCACGCTAGAGAGTTTTTATTTTCTATTTATCTTTGCTCTCCCTTTTTTTATATGTGATATAGGGATTTATGTGCACGTATATATGATTTATAGTCCATGCATTCCTTAATTGTATCATAATTTATAAATAAGAGCTGTGATATACTTGATCTCAAGTTTCTAACCTGGCTGTCAAATATTGTTTACCATCAAATTTAATTTCGATATTTTTTGCAGTATGGATGGACGCACTGATAGATGTGAGCGTATATGTACATATTGACATACACAGTATAGGTATGTATTTCCAGACCTTGGCAATATATACTGGATACATTATATACATGCAAACAAACACACACAACTTCATACATACATGCATACATACATACATACATACATACATACGTACGTACGTACATACACACATACATACATACATACATACATACATACATACATACATACATACATACATACATACATACATACATACATACATCAAACATACATCCATCCATACATACATACATCATACAACATACATACACACACACACATACACACACACACACACACACAACACACACACACACACACACACACACACACACACACACACACACACACACACACACACACACACACACACACACACACACACACACACACACACACCACACACACACACATATATATATATATATATATATATATATATATATATATATATATATAC